AAAAAAAAAAAAAAAATTGGCTGGTCTACATTTGTTTGCAGATTTTGGTCTCTGCTTTTGGAAAGTAGACGTGACTACATTTTTACGCTGTTGATTGATGGAATTGACCGACTTAGGTGTTGTATTTTGTACTACGGAGTACGAGCTTCTTCTGAGATGTATTATACCCAAGGGAAGGTTTTATTACCTGCTGTTGGTTACTTTGGTATAGACTTGAGATCTTTCAAAGGGGATTTCTGTAAAGAGGTGCCAATTGGGAATGTATCGCGTGTTGTATTTTCTTGCGTAGCATCATATTTACTTGCGAGTTATGAGTAGGTGTTGGGTTTGATTAATCGACATTCATTGTTATGGTTTAAGTACTCGAGTTGAAATTGCTACCATTTTGATTTTGGTGAGTGTATGTATGATTAAACTTTTGGCTTTGCCAAAGAGTGGGAATGACCTGTATTTCTGCATGCATTCCTCTTTTTTTTTTTTCTACGTACTCGAACGAATACGAATCCCGTGCGTAAGATGTACTCATAATATTTATAAATTAAAAATTCTCATTAAATAATATTTATAAATTAGAAAATATATAATTTACCTATATTAGTTTATTGAGAATTTCAGGCATGTTTATAACCAATTGGTTAGCCGTCTACAGTTTTACGAGTTTAATCTTAAATCTTATTTCTTATTTAAAAAGAAAAGCGAGTAATTATAATAAGTCGCAAACTCAACTGCACGTGCCCATGTGACTTTATTTTCTCTATCTTGTGGGCCGGTCCATTATCCGGAGTCCAAAATTGTGAAGGCCCGTTTAAGCTTTATGGAAACTGAAACTAAAGCATTCTTGTCGGCACACATTATAAAGATTTTTATCCGACGTTTAACATTCTCTCCCTCGAGAGACTATTACCGTGGAGAGAGTCTTGGGTTTAAGGTAACCCCAAATCCAGGAGTCCGCATAAGGTTCCTCTCTCTCTCTCTCTCTCTCTCTCTCTCTCTCTCTCTCTCTCTCTCTCTGTAGTGGCATTGAATCAGAGAAACTCGGTTTTCTTGTTGATTTTTTGTTTCTTGCTGGACCTTCGAGTGTTACTGAACCGTGCAACAGACAGTGAATTTTAGATATGGTTTTATCGCAGGTCAGCATGCATGTGTCTGAATAATGTGTTTGTTTGTGTTGTGTATGTCTGTATACCTATAGCCAAATTCAGTTCGTTTTGCGAGGTTTTAATGAATTGGGCTTCCTTTTATCCCCTTTTATTCTGTGATGAAGTAGTAATTTGTTCAAGATTCTTAAATTCGACCACCTAATTAAAAAATCCCATCTTTTGCTTTTTAATAGTGTTCTGTTCAAAGATTGTGAATTTTTGGGAAAAGCAACACAAAATCCAAAATCTTGGCAATGAACCTGTGAGATTTTGCTTTTGTTTACTCAATGTGAGCCTGCCACTGGAAAGAAGTTGGGATGATAGTCGGCTCTATGATTGCGCATTTGTGCTCAAGATTTTGATTATGCTTCTGTTATGCAGAGAGGAAAGACACGATCTTGGTAGTGATTGCATACAGAATTAAGAAAAGGGAGGTTGACGGGATAAATCTGATGTCGAATAAATTTTTTCGAGAAGACACGCAACATGCTTTTCTGAAGGATTTATATGATTTGGAACCCTATGATGAGGCAGTATGTAATACTGCCCCCTCCATGGATAGTGAATCTATTGAATACGAGAAGAAACTGCTGGAGGTTAATGACTCTGCGGACAATGATTATAAAATATTACTTTCTGGCTTGCTAACTGTGATATCAAGGGCTAAATCCATCGAAAACCAAACAGAAAGTGACAAATTTGACGATGGGAGCGGTGATGATGCACGTGAAGAGGAGAAGAAAGATCCTGAGCTTGAGACTTTCTTTAAATGTCTGATGGCAAACGGGAACTATTGCATGGTTAAAAGCCAGAGAAGTAGCTCGCCGTTTTTTATTAAATATGAACACGATGAGAGTTCGGACGAGGAGCGTGATTTGGATTATAAGAGGAAATTGAGGAGTGCCAAGAAAAAAAATAAGCAAACCCCCAATAAATGCGGACAGGATTTTCCAAAGCCGGATTCTAGTGAGAGGCAATTGAGGATTGAGAGAGTAGAGAATCTGAGGAAATTACGTAAAGTGAAAAAGGAACCTGATTATGGCGCCTTCATGCAGGCATGCCATCTTGTGGATGGTCATATGGTTTACGATTTTCGGCCTCACAGTGTTGTGTATGAGAATGTGGAGGATTGGGCTGATGAAGTGGAAATTTTGGATAGTGCGACTTTTAACGAAGGAAATTCGAGTGTGAATAACAGTGTACGTTGCTATTTCGTATTCAGTTTTACTAGTCAACCATCGATCGAGTAATTCACCATTTACTCTTTATTTTATTACTCTGCCCTTGAAAGGTTTAATTTAGATGCAAACAAAAGCCACTCATCTTTTATGATCACAAACATTTCCTTGAGATTTGTAGTTATTTGCCAGCACAGTCCTCTTTTGAAAGTGAATTTTGAAAGATGATAAAAATGTGCATAATTTAAAAAGATAACTGACGTTCTTTGTTTTTCCTTTCTATGAAAATCTAACTCTCAATATATAAAGCCTTCCTAAATAGAGATGTTCTGGAAAAAAATTCATCTTCAAGGGGTGTTTTTGTAGTTTTGAAAGGTAACAGAGTGTGATTAGGCTAAACCTTAAAGAGAACAGCTGAACTATTCCCATATGATTTTATATGCAATGAGACTGATTACCGTATGATTTTTATGCAATAAGACACATCGCTGAAGCTCTTCTTGTGCAATGTAGTCTGAATTTAGGCGGCAGCTTATGGATGTTCTTAAAAAGCCTTATGATGAAAAAGAGTATGAGAAGCTGTGGTTTGATGTTGAACTCTCTAAGCCAGAAGAGCGCCATAGAGAATTGCGCCATGGGAGAGAGAGATCGAGCGCTACAGACAAATCTGGAAAGTCTTATCTCGATTACCATTCCGGTGAGTTTTGTAAAACCTTGAGTGTCTCGTATAATTGTGTTTGTATGGGTCTGTTACATTTGGTGTTTGTTGGTTGCCATTTTTTGTTGTTGTTATAATGGTATTTTATCTTGTTTAAAAAGTATAAAAATATGTGCTCTGAAATTTTGCTGTAAAAATGAATGTGTCCCTTTTTGGGTCTTATATTTAGTTAATTTCTTATGAAAATTTACTGCAGTGCCTTCTTGTTCGTTAATCGCGACTTATCTGATCTTTTTATGTCATTTTTACCCAACCGGCAGGTCTTAGAAGACAACTCTCGAAATTCCCAGATGATAAACCAAAACTTTTGAACCTTTTACGAGGTTTCTTCTTTTGGCTTGAGGTCAGTCAGTTGCATGTTCAATTTCGAGCTTTGGACATTTATGTTGTTATAGTCCAGATATTTCTATGGCATGTTAGTTTTATGTGTGTGATGATGGATCAGTAAATAAGAAAAATAACAATTTCTACTTTATATGAGATATTTATGAAGATAACTGCAAATAGTACCCACATATCTGAACTGATAACACAAGAAGAATCCATTTTCTATGAAAATTACAGACGCTCTTTTACAAAAATGTCACAAACACAAATTTCCAAATACAGTTGACATCTCATTTGTATTTCGACTAGACCTTCTGAAAACTTATGTACTTGATCATAGTATATAGTCTGTCATGACAGGTCAAGGATTACTTGAGGCGAGCACGAGAGAAATAATCCATAAAAAAGAAGTTTTTTGCTTATTATCTTCTTCTTTTATCAGATTATTCTATTTTCTGATTAACTTTATGCTTCTACTTTTTATGCCAGAAATCTTCGCAAGACAATGCGTTTCAACCTTGGAACGATGCAGAATGCTTGGCCACACGCCCGGATTCTGGTTAAGACTCGTTTTCCTGGTTTTCTTATTACTCCTTGTTTTGTAGATCCTAAGCTGAGATTGCATGCACAGTAGTTTCAGAATCAAGATTTCCAATGTATGCTATTTAGTTTCATAATTGATTCAGCTTCCCACTACTGAGTTTCTTTTATTTTATTTTCTCAACTTATGAGTTATATAACTGAAACTCAGTCCAAGTAGCTTACAAGTGCTGCATAACAAAATTAAATCAACCCCATATGCACAGAAGATGTTTGTCTTTATTTTTTTTTTTAAAAAGGCAATTATATTAAAAACTCAAAGGAGCACAATTAATATTGAAGTTATGTTATTTAAAAAAAAATCTTACAAAAATCTAAATCTATTTGAAACATCATAATTGATATATAAATTTATAACACAACAGTCATTAACTGTGAATTTCACATAGGGGTAGATTTTGGCAAATCCCACCTAGCTTTTTTAGCCTTTGGGGTGGTGTAAAACGTAATTTTGGGGGCCACCAAGCTTTTATTAATGAACTTTCCCCTTCCTAAAAATTTAAACAAAGGATTTTAAACAAGGGAGATTCTACGGTCTCGTTACGACGAAATGATTCGGGGTTTGTAATCGTTAGATCAACTATTCACGACGGTTATATAATGATAATGATCTAACAGTTATAAATCCCGACGGAATAATTCCGTAAAGAGACTATCATTTCCCTTTAAAGAAAACCCTCTCTAGTCCCTTCAACTCACCTTGTCATCAATATTTAACCAAAGTAGGATTAACAAAATAAACAAATTAAATCTCCCTTCACTTCCCTACACATCAATTCCCTCAAATATAACCCTTATTTTTTGTTAACTCCACACCTGAGCAAAGACTGTATTCACAGAATACAGGCATGAGCATGACTTATAGCCTGCAATTGAACATAAAACTGAAGAAATATAAAAAGAACCCTTGAAATTCAGTGTTTGCTGTGCGTCAAACAATTGTGGTAAATAAACAAGAGGTTTTAGGAAGAAAAAAAAATAATGGACAACTAATCAACTATGGTGCAACAAAGAGGAGCATTAAACACAATTCCCGAAAGCCCCTTTGAAAAAAAAAAAAAAAAAATCAAATCCCTATAAGAACGAACTCTATAAATTGTTCATAACAAATAATCTGATGAATTAATTAATTGCAGGGTCTCATATCCTCCACTCCAGTTAACAATGCCTCTCATCAAACGTATGAATTCCTAAACTGACTTGCTCCACTCCCAAAACCCGTGCCCGCTGACCCACCATTTCTCGTATTCCCCACGTGACCGTTTCTCATCCGAACCCAAGGCGGGGCCGCCTTAGCATGATTCCACTTTTGCTGCCTAAAGAATTTCCTTCCCAAACTATGTGAGCTCCCATCCCGTTCGAAATCCGGGCCAATCGGAGAATTCATCTCGGGCAGGCCCATGCCATTGGCAATCGTACGTTTATGCCCTGAAGAATGACCAGCAGCACAATCATCACCACTACCGTTATTAACTCGTTCATATCTTTCTGCAGGTTCACTGAAAATGGACCCAGATTTAGGGCCCATCGTTTGTGAGCCCACTTTCTTGTACGTAGGCAATGGAGGAAATGGGTGGAAAGGCAGACCAGGGGTCACTTTCAAGCTCACGATATTTTCTGCTTCATGCAAGCCTAATCGCAGCAGCATGGAATACGGAATTCCGTAGGACAAAGGCAAACTCGCTGCGAATTTCGGCTGCAAGTTTCCCAAATTGGTACCAAATGGAGCGGCTAAAGAACTATTCACTTGATCTTTAGGCTTCTTACAGGGAGACGAAAATCCGGGAGGGGCAGAATCGTCATTATGCGGGGATGAAAAGCCCGGAGGGGTAGAATTGTAATTATGAGGTGGGGTGTCCCATCGACTCTTACGTTTTCGTACTCCTGTTTTGGTAGTTCCATTATTATTATTGTTATCAGAATTCATGGGGGTTGGATAGTCAACAACACCAGATGATGATGCAGCAATAGGTTCTTCGGATTTTTCGATTCGATTGTTTGGGTGATCTTGTGACGAAGAAGCTGATGGTGGCCTGCCGTGACCTGAATAGTGAGGAAATTCGATCTTGGCATCGTCTGGCTCCGTGAAACATTTTCTTCTTAAGTGTCTTGGGATCCATCTGTCACGGAAGTTACGTGCAATTTGATGGACCTGAGAGAGGTAGGGATAAAATTTCAGAATTTTCAGTCTCAAGTATTTTTACTTTTTTAAGTGAGTTAGTGACGGGACAAAAGTGCATTTTCTTCTCTACTTGAACACTGAAGAGAAGCAACATGTAATTTCTTGATAGTCCAGAACAGTAGCTAAAATAATTTAGTTAAAATGACCGTAAAGAAGAAATCAATAATTTTCTGTATAATGGAAATCTTGGATGCAACCAAAATCTTGATCAAGCTGAGTTTTATTCTTTGTCTATTGACAGCACAGTGTATGGGCTGTACTATGCTACTTAATATGTGACCTTAAGAAGTGACCGATTCCACAATTAAATGGAGAAGGGGTTGTCTAGCATTACCTGCCTATCACCGTGATCCGTCAGCGTCAATATTGAATCTCGAAAACTGCAAGCAGAGAATAAGATGAATTTAGAAGACAACATACATGCAAAAGAAGCAAATGATCAAGCATTTAAGATGCATTCTCACTAGTCAAGATTCCCAGAAAAAAAAAAAACAACAACAACAACAACAAGAGGCCAAATGATAGCCGACTTGAAATGCAAGAATCAAGTGAATTTCGGAGTTGCAATAGTAACTGTTGTTCATGCAACCATATTTTGATTCATGGTAATAACTAAAATCACGGGACACATCTCACTTCAGTTTGTTCCATCTATACTTAGTCTGTACCTCAAAAAGTTATGTATTACGTGGCATAACTCCCTCTTTCTAATATTCATTTTGTCATTTTCGTTTGTTTAGTTCTTTTATTTAGCCGACTGAGTCATCATTCTATCTTAATAGTGTTCAGATTTCACCAGCCCTCAAATTTGCCTGGGTACACACTAGTCACATGAAAGTCATACCTTCAGACACTTTCCCCTAAGCATGAACCGAGTACAGTTTATACATTGGGCAAAGTGTGACTAATTACATGTGCATGATACTACTAACATGAAACCAACAGTATACGAATATAAGGTTAAGAGATAACTAATAAGCTCATAAATTGCAGTCCTGGTTATTGCACATGCATGTGACAAGTTTGGGGATACCTTCTTCATTCATATAAAATTATCAAAAAAATCATAGAGCAACAGTAATAGTAATTGATTTTCTTTTCACCTCTCCACTCCAGGACAAGGTGGACCTCCAGTTATGTGCTCTAGGTTAAGAATTTCCCTTGTTGCCAAATACTCAAGCACCTACGTGCAATAAGTGAACAGATATTAACTATTTCAACTATTGCTATTTTCTTTAACATTTTAATCATTAACTCAACAACATTCGTATTTTAAAATTATAATTTGAAATAATGCTCCATATACCATATAGGTTAAATAAGCAAGTCATTAGGAAACTGTAGTTCCACAAGAAATAACGGCTCATTTAAGTCACCTTAAGAAGCTTGCGGAGTATTGGGGTTTTGTTGAACTCCTTTCGGTATCGCTTCATTATGTTGTGCAACATTTGCAAACCTATAGACCCCAAATTCAACTTGTCAGCAAAAAAAATGTGATCAAGCATATTTTGGCAACTAAACAATAATAAATAATTACCATTCTTGTTAATTATATCAACCAGAACTGTCCTAGACTTGGTCTTCAAGAGTGCATCCAAGATCATCGAGAGGTCCCGATTACTTCAAAATTCAAACACATCAAGCATCAGTCAAGTTTATATATCATGTACTTAAGACCATGGGAGGGTAGGGTGGGTTACATGAGCGTATCCAGACATACCTCTGTATAGCTTCACCATGACCGCTAGTTCCTGAGGTAGCTGTTAGAAATAGAAGCTTCAAGTAACCTCTTGATGCATCCTGCTACAAGGTAAAGGAAATTTAGACATGGAACACAAAATAGGATCAAGTGCATAAGTAGCAACCATAATATCAATAGCAATCATTATCAGCCATGCATATTGGAAGTTACTATAAAAATTGGGTGGCATCAATAATCAAGACCTGATTGCTTCAATATGCAGAAACAAAATGACATCAGAAGCCTTGAAAAAAAAAACTCACAGAACATGAAAAATATAATACTTACTTTTCGCTTACTTATTCCCCCCTCAGTGTCTAGCAACTCATTCAGTTTCTTCTCAACTACAATCCATTAAGTTAAGTCGTTTCAGTAAAAGTATATTACCACAAAAGGAAGTACGTACGGAACAGCTGACGGTTTACCTGTTTCGACATGATTGTTTAAGGTGATATCCGGTAAACTTTTAGATTTGTGATTTGCTGCATTTAATTTATCCAAATCCGCACTCAATTTCCCATTCACAGGATTTGATTTAGGCTTCTCTTTCTTAATTGAAGATGGCAAACGACTCTTGACAGAAAAACCAGGCTTCACTAACTCCTTTCCTCCGGAAATAGCATATTTCAACTTTCTATTACATTTGGTTGTACTAAGCTGCACTTTGCTAGTCAATGCATTGCTTGTTACCTCCTTTCTTGGTGTATGCTGAGCTGAAGATAATGCTTTGTTCAAAAAATCCTCTGATTGTAAAGAAACATCCGCAAGTTGGGTCACTCCGGCTTCAACATTTGAAACGGCTGGTTCAAAAATACTCAAAGACTCTTCTTGGTCTTTCTTAGCATCCAATAGCCCAACATCAGCATTAGATTTAGAAGCAAAATCATTGTTAAAAGATTCGTCAGGTTTATCATCTTGAACAATGTCAGCTACCTGCTGAGCAGTTGACATATTAAAGGATCCGTCACTGCCAGCAGAACTAAATGCCACTTTTCTAACTACAGTTTCGGAAGAGATATTCTCTGATTGAGCAACAACATTAAGCTGTTTTCTCCTTCCATCTCTTTTTTCAGGAGGTTCAGTGATAGTTTCTTTCTCTCTATCAAGCAATGAATTAGATATTATGTCATTCCAATCTTCTTTCATTTCTCTATCATCCAATGTCATAACAGGTTCTGCAAATTCTTCATCTGAGTCGCCATGAACAATAACTTCGGAATTCGTTGGATCACCACCGATATAGCCCCGACAATTGGGTGAACCGCACACACATTTTTTTGCAGCGGCACCGAACACGCGGACATAGTTGTAGTCAAATGTGACCTCCTCGCCCTGGCATAGTGACATTCAAAATGAATGAAAAACAGCATCTTCATAGGGATGAGACCAACAATAGACAACTATTTTTCCAGCAACCAATAAAAATTATGAGAAGACAGCTTTCCTCAAAGCAAGCACATCATACTTTATTGCCTACAACAGCGAATTAGAGTTGATATGTTGGCATACAGGACAAGGTTTTTAATAATGATTGGAAGAAACATTGCTGTAGATATAAAAACCTACATTGGGACACAAACAAGTATTGGTACAACTAGACTAAACATGAGGAGAATGATTTGCCACTGGTATCAGAAAAAGATACCTTTTTTATATCCCTGACAGCAAAAAGTCCAACACAAACTTCCCCATTCACCATCCACTGTCAAAGCATACAAAAATCAAAAGTTAATAATTTTAAAGACCAAAATTACGCATTAGTGTTTCTCAAACAACATACATGCGGACCTGCACAATTAACGAATCAGCGACATGGTGTAATATCCCTTTCTAAACAATTGAAAAATGACAATAGCTTCGGATTCCAGAAGTAAAATATGAAGAGGAAGCAAAAGATAAAATTTTGATAGTGTTGGCAGTCAAGATGGTTGTGCATATCATGTGAGACGAGAAATTCATAGTCAATAAACTAATATTTTAAAGATTACATAGATAGTCATTGAATCATTGTAGCATTGTCACTCTCAATATAACATCAAGTCTACCACTATCAGTGGGGAGGCCAAGGTCACGTGCTCAAGGATCTAGAACAGAACTTGTTTAACAATCATAACATATAAGCAAATTACACAGGCAATTTCCTATAATGAATCACCGACTACGTGAAGACATATAAAGATTAAGATTTCATGGTACCTTTTCCGTTTGGCAATTAGGATCACAGCTATGATTTATAAAGCGGCCAAGGTTTCCTTTGGCGCATGCATCGATCACCTACAGGAAAGCAGAAATTGCAATAAACGTGAAATTATATAATAAATAATATATAGGAATTAAAACAAATTAAACTTCATCAAGCAAGTGCATGTTCACTCTGAATACCATAGATTTTCCATGAATTGGGGTAATGCTTATAGCTACCCGACTACAGAAAAATTCAACCATGGCATCTAAAGAATCTAAAAAGATGATTAAAAGTTGGCAGCGGGCATCCAGCAACTATTGTGAAGGGCTGTTGTCACTCACTCATCACAGCTGTATTCATGCTCAAGCATTTCATTAATGCAAAATAAATGCTTAATAGTAAAATTTATTTGAATCCATACATTTTAGGTGAGAATTTAGCAAAGTACATGTGATGCTGCTGCAAGCATGAAAGGTATTGAGAACCTGAATCAAAGCCCAACTATCTGTATGTTACAGGTACAGAAAAATACGAAGGATGCCAGAAAGAGGCCCCAGGAACCGAGTCTGTTTGAAATATTTATGATATCAACTTCGAAAATCATATAGGAAAAGTGAATATTAATAGCTAGCACTGCCCATGGAAGCCAAACATAAACTTCTAAATAATTTGTTTATAACAAACATATGCTGCTATTCTCACTGGAGAAAAGGGACATGGAATCAAAAAATTAACACAGAAACAAAATAGTACCAGATACAAAACAAATGACAAGTAATTACTCTTTTAAATGATCAGAGATCATCAAAGTTGCCAGATAAAAGTAACAAAAAGTACAAGACGATTAATAACCGGGGTTGCACTACTGCAACACTAAAGCATTGGATTACAAAAAATGCTTTCAACTTCACACGTATAAAAAGAGGGATGATGGCAAACCTCACTCCCATTGAGCGTCATGAAGTAAAAATGTCTGTGTCCCTGCAAAGCATACTCTTTCTGCCTTGTTTCATATGCACGCATATCAAGCACCTGAAACATCCCCAAACACCGTAAACACAAAAATAAACTGAATATTCACTTCACTCTGCAGATGTAGAAATCTAATATGATAGAAAAAGGTTCAAAGCACCATCCGTTGATAGCATTGCTCCAGTAAAACTATATGGATACATAAAAAACCACATTTATATGATGATGTGGTGACCCAAAAAACTAATGACTACCAAATTAGATCAAGCTAAAAGTCCTCAGCTGAAGTTCTTCAGTCCCCTCAGGTGACATACACTGAGTACAGTTAGACTAATCAACATTTAGCATTACCTAAAGGAAAGGAGCTGATAATAAATTCGAATAACCGCTAAAAAAGAGCAGTCCAAGGTAATACGATAGAATGATCCTATTGCATCAAAAGAAAAACATGGTGTTCGTATTACTCATGTAAGAAGATCAGATACTAGCAATTTTCTCTCCAAGGTACAGAAGGAATCGAAATTATATATCTTGATGTCAGGAAATATCCCTATAAATGCTGTGTAAACTCAGTTTCAGCATGAAGTAACACAAACTGATTTGTACACATAATTGTAATATTCAATAACCAATTAACCATAAAACTCGGTTCATGATATTCATTACCTAGACGTTGGGCCTAGTCAGTATAATATGATCAGCTCATGATCTATTTACATCAGGTGTCAAATGCCTCAAGTATATAAGAGTCCAGGTTACCTCTCCAACATACTCTATGAGAAACTGTCCTTGAGAGATATCTTGAAGAGCTTGAAGACCAAAACCCTTCTTCCCACACCTGAACCACCTCAATTTGGCATACTTGCGCTTCTGGAACTGTAAGCAAATGCAAAAGATAAACTTCAGTAATTAGAAAGGACATAAGTTGGAACTAAGGAAAATTTACCACACCTGTTGGTTTGAACAAAGTTCACCGCATGGGCAAGTTCCTCGGACACACTCAATGTTGAGCATTCGGTTCAAACATTTAGCACCACAACCCATTCTGCCATCAGCTGGAGGTTTGCAATGGCAGACCATCACCTGTAATGCACAAATGAAATAGGCAAGATATTGAAAGCTATTGGTTCAATAAATTTAAAGGAGAATGCAGGACGCTTGAATACATTTGTACTTTCAATACCATAGAACTCAAAACCCATAATCTCACGTGTTGGCAAAAGCAAACCACGCTCTTAAAATGTAACAAGACAAGCAAAGAGACCACAGTAAATTAATTTTTCTCTGACAGCCCAAATGATAACCAAATCATAAAAAGCATAACATACAACTAATCATTACCCAGGAAATTCATCGTAAAAGGTGAAGGTCTAAAAGGTTCCCCTCTAGTCAATGGAAAACTGGGAGTTTGAGACCGACCAAACATAGACTACTAAACACAAAACAATTTAACCTTCACTAGCTAACAATGAAAACTCTTCTTATGGCACTTTTTGGTTGAAAAGGATTGACGATAGAAGAGCTTGCGCAATATAAAAACAGGCAACAAACGAATGAACTTTAATACTTTATGGACTGAGAACAAATATTAATTAAAACTGATGCAGATCAATGAACGAACTTTAAGCAGGAAACAAAAAAATAATAATAATAATAATTTAGGAGATGGACAACTAAACATTGACCTCATCGATGGTCTGAGTTTTCCGGCTTCGATGCAGAAACAAGTTGGACCTAATAAGTGACCAAGAGGGTGGCTTTTGGACAGCTGCAACAGATAAAAAAATCAACTCAGATATAACTAACCAACTCGGAATGCAGGGAGCATGCGGAAGACACAGTTAATTTTGAGGCATCAAATCATTATCAAGTACCTTGGGAACGAATTTGGATAGATTTCTGCAGCGCATTATAAGCATCTTCATCAGCATCAGATATTTCCAGCTCTTTATTTATTTCAGAATCAGACTTCTCTTGAGGGATTGAACAGTCAGCAAAGTCTTTGTCTGAGTTATCTTTGCAAGTCCTGAAATAAATTAAAATTATAAAATCAATACTCTGCTCTCTCAATTAAAAGCAACTGAATAACATATTAAGACTCGCAGTAACAACTACAGGCTTGAAAACCAATGCCCCCACTCGTCATTCATCATTAACAAAAACAATACTCCATACATTCATTGAAAATATGAAGTTTGACTTATTTAAAAAATTTATCCCACTAAACAAGTTTTCCGAAGTACCCCCAGTTTTTCTTCCTAAACAAACCATTAACCACCAATGCGTTAATGAGCATCAGCTTAACTGGAATGACAACCTAACTCTCAGAAATCCCAACCAACCATCCAGCTAAAGAAAATGGCTAATACAGATAATTCATTTGATTAGAAGTTCAACTGAGCAAAAGGAAGGTTAATAGTGAAAAAGTTTAAACTTAATTCAGGTAACCCAAATCCATAACAGACACTCTGAACCCCCCAAGATAAGTGTACTGTAAAGCAAAATGGAACAAACATGGCAATCTGCCTGATAAAAAGTGCATATGCTCAGTAGAGTATTCCTGACACGAAATTTATGGACCAAATATGAGGTCATGCACGCTCTAACCACCAATGTATGCTAGAAGCACCTCATTGTTTAGATATGATACTTCTGTACCACTGCTTGTACAAAAATTCTTCAAGTCCAAACGGAGTGAATATTTATGGTAAGATGCTTTTCAAGTTTGTGATACTCCTAGCCGTATTGCAAAATAGTTCATCAGATAAAAGCAATGCCTACTACCTAAATTATGAGCCTGCAAGTAATCACAATGTGTCACGAGTTTACAAAGACAAAACAACCAGATCAAACAAGAAAAAGATATGAAAATATGCAGATAATTCGGATCAAAGTCTAATGCTGCAGTCATTGTTTACCATCCACAGTTTGTTTCTTCAATTTGATCAGCAAGGATGGCAGGTATCCTCCGCCATTTTTGGCAGTCATCACAAAGCACCCATGCATTCCTTAGAGGAGCATATTGTTCCTTGAGCTCATCAGAAATAAATTGCATACTATTTAGTGATCCATTAACACCCTTACTCGGGTATCCAGTTTCTGCAAGATCAGATAGTGAATGATTACCTAGAGAAATGATCAAAATTTGAGATAAGTTCCTCCAAAATTTTTAAATATTGCATCAATAAGATATGAGAGAGTAGACCTCGAGCAACACATAAGATAATCATGCTTCCTCCCGTTTGTAAGTTTTTCTTTCATGTTCTTTTTTTACCTTTGGGAATGGAAAGAAAAGGGAGGAGTGTTGCTACTCACATCGAAACAAAAAAAAAA